TTCTTGAGATTAACTGTTGTCTATTCCATCAAAACCACTCACAACTTACTTTTGGCATCATGTAACTGAATTAGAACATTTATTCCTGACAAAACAGGAATATGTGACAAACAGTTCTTCAAAACTTTTAATAATGAATTTACCAAGCCTTTCTCAGCACATCTTCAGGCTTTTGTAGAAACATGTATCAATGTAATTATAAAAGATCTGTCCAGTTTCAGCTTGTGACTGTTAATAAGTTGCACCTGGATGGAGTGATCAGTGGCTTCACAGTACAAGAAAGACATGGAGCTACTGGTTCTAGTATATATTTCAGTTGGAATAATTGTACCCACTTGTCTTGCATAATGTGCACTGTACACTTCTGTATTTGCTTAAGGTTTTGCTGAGTATCTTGTGGGAGAAGAAGAGAAGGCTGACCTTGGGGAGGTTCTTGTTGAAGAAGATGCTTGCAAAATGTCTGGTTCGAGAAAGACACTTTGAATGCTAATATCTCCCCAAATTTTCTGGCCATTTTAATGAAAGTAAAAGTTGTTATAACCTATTTTTGTCTAAGCATACAAAAAATTTATAGCATAGTTATTTTTATTTATCACCCATAGGGTAGGATAATGTGTTTCAGTTGTATCTCACGAAGATTGAAACATCATCAGCCCTAGAGAGAATGCTGTTAAATCTTTGTCATCCATTTATTGCTTAAAATTCAGCATGCAAGAGCATATTCTTTTTCCCTGAAAGAAAATGTTTTTTCTCTGTACACATAACTTAATTGGTATTTTCTGGAGAAATAATTCCTAGCTATAAAAGTTGGTAAGTATGTGTACCACTTATTCATAAATAAGTTTTGACTCATTTGGCCCAACCTTTGAAGAACAATGGTTTAACGTGAACATGAAATCTATTTCTCCTCATAATGTGGGTGACTCAGAGTTTTCACCAAAAATTTTTTCCCTCTCATCCTCTCATTGTATACCTGTACACATTGTGTATACCTGGCAGTTTGCTCTTGTGTATGAAATCACAGCACACACAAGCAATAGGAAAGACTGTACAGCAGAAGCAGTTCCACTAAAGAAAGGTTCTAGAAAAAAAAAAAAAAAAAAAGGTTCTCTACACAGAGCAAGAGGATGACCTGCAAATATTTATTTTAATCAAGTAGCATTAAGGATGCATTCTGCCCTTTAACACTTCCATTCTGGATTATTGAACAGTTTGTACTCAAACAGAATGAAGCAGGCTTGAATGACCTGTAAAGGACAGGAAGATGCTCAAGAAGAGGGACTGCAAGCCTGGCATTTAGCAGTCCTGAACAAATTGAGAGAGTGTAGCAGAAAGGATCAATGCCTTTTGTTTCACCTTTACTATTCCATTATAGCTGCTGAATGAAGACAACAGAAGATAAAAACTGCAGGAGGGGAGAAAAGCAGAAATATACATCTTTGTTTCCCCATTGAAAAGTTAAAAATTGTCATTTGAATTTCTGAATTATTACAGAATTTTTCACTACCCAAATCTACTTTGAACAGCCTATGTTAGGAGTATGGAGTAAAAGTTTCATTGCAAACCTTTCAAATAATACATACTGAAAGATATTTACTGAAAGACATGTACGTATCACATATTATCATTTTTCCACAGCTGTAGCTGAAGCTAATTTTAAGAAAACATGGGAGTATAAAGATGAAGAGAGACAAAGCAGTTTTTTCAGATGAACAGTTCTCTCACTAAAAAAGGCAGTTTATGTTCAGCAAATGATATTTCAGAATTCAAGAAGATTTTATGAGCAGAACTGATTAAAATTAAAAAAAACACTTTTTTTAGCTGAAATTTTTATAATGACATGCTCAAACCTAAATATTTTAATATATTAAGTTATCATTTGAAATGATGATTTGATGCTTGATATTTTTTTTTTTTCTTAAATATAATCAAAATGCAAAATCCTAGTACTACATCGATTTTTTGTGTGTGTGTGGAGTATCTTCCCCACTTTTGATAGCCACTGAACTGGAAATGAATTAGTCACACAAATCAAGCCACCAGTTTCCTGAGGCATGTACGCATAGAAGATTTGGATATGACCTGGAGTAAATATGAAAAGTAGGAAGATTTTACTGTGTTGATGCTGGGAGATTGTTGAAGTTCCATAGGGATGAAGTCAGAAATGGATGACAAACTAGAGTGTTACAAGAAAGATTATTAATACTGAGAGCTGTGTGATTCCAGTACAGGGTGCCAACAATACTGGGAAGAAACTGATATTCCTGAGTGCAATTGGCAGTAGATTTCATCAAACACTTTCTGAAAAATCAAGATGTGATTCTACTGGCTGTGATTTATTGGCTAAAGAAAATACTTTTATCAATATTTTTAAACTTAGATGAAGAGAAGCAAAACCATAAGATTATTCGGAGTTTCACAAACTCAGGAAAATAATTTGTGGACTCAGTTGGTCTAGAACTCTGATTCCTTAAAGAGAGGAATCATTGAGAAGGGTTAAACATGCTGTAAGTATCAACTTAATTTTGATCTGTTTTCTAAGGACTAAGAAAGAGCATAGATAATTCTTTCAGATCCAAATTCATGAATAAGCACCTAAAAAACCGATGAGATGAAAGCAGAGACTGAAAACTTTATTATAATTTATAATTGTTAAGTAAAAGCAAAAGGTTTGTATCAATAAAAATAGAGAACAAAATGCTAGTGGGGCTCCAGTGAGAGTGAGGTGATACTAGATTCCCCCTAGATACACTTGAAAAAAGACTACATCATCTATGTTTGTGTGAGCTTGATCACAGAGAAAAGATTGATACAGATATGAAGCTATACATTTAGGTACACATTAAAATTTAGTATATCAGAACCAGAATGATTATAGAACCACAGTCCACTGTGATGAAAACAAAGAAGGTAAGATCAAATGATGTATTGGAAAAGGTCATTTGAAGAAATTCTCTTGCTCTTTGGCTGAACAGAAATATCAGATTATTTTTATATGTTAACTTACTTCCAAGCATAACTTGAAGATATACCTAAATAGTACTTAACATTTCCCAGAATTACAGAATTACAGGATTACAAATGGTTTTGGCAGTTTAGGATAGAAAAAGGAAGATTATTTAATCCAGTTGAAATCACAAATATTGCAATTGTTGTGTTGTTATTTGGTTTTGTTTGTTTGTTTCTAGGTGAGAAGTGAGAACACAGGATTTTCTTTGATGTTTCAAAGTACTTCTATGACTGTACACAGGGAAACTTTTGTTGAAATTACAGAAGTACTGATTTTTTTTCCACTGAAACTACAGACAGATCTGATTCCTCTAACGTAGGATAATGTAGGATAACTTCCACTAGCACAATGGCACTGATACTAAGCCAGGTTATTAATTCAGCTCTGAGTAAGAGACTTCTCTGCTAGCTAATGTCTACAAAATCATAAATGTTGGGTATCTTTCTTATATGCGAACATAACTGCACATAACGTACAAAACAGGAGTTTAACAGCTTGAAAAGAAATACTTCAGGTTTCTTTTAATAAGTGTATAAAGGTCATACAGTCAAATGAAAACAACTACAGTTTAACCATAGAGTTAGTTTGAAAAAAAATTCCGTTGTCCATGGCATCAGTGCAGCATACTTCTTTGCCTCATCAGAGAAATGTTTAGCTCTCTATTAAAACAGTGATTAGGAAGGCAAGGAACTTCACACCTGTATTTGAAATATGCAGAAAGTTGTATGAAATAGAAGATATCTCTTATGGTATACAAACAGCAAATTAAACAATTCAAAGTGTTTTCCTAATAGCATCTTTAACCATTTCTGTTAATGTTGACTTTCCCAGAATCAGTCTTTAACCATCTACCAAAAAAAAAATCCCTTTGACTAGGATTTAGATTATTAGAAGACAGACTAGAAAAAATGATTTTCAGACTGCTAAGATTTCTGGATTGCTTCACCCTGGAAAGTCCATTTTATCACTTTTCTCACTGTCATTTTGCAACCTCAGTCAAACAAAATAATTTCTGTAAGCTAATAAATGCTGAATTTATATGGCAATCTTCTCCTTGATCCTCCTCTCATTGCTGTAGCCGCTGGTCCTGCACAGGCCTGCTGAGTTGTTGTGGTTTCTCTACCCTACTGTGGTTTTTATGTATTTAAACATGCTGGTTTCTTGTATTATTAAGGTCTCTCATTGGGGCAATATTATTGTAAAGGAGTGTTGATTTAAAGAGAAGTCTTTCTGAACACAAAATTCACTGCCAGTAGCCAGAAGAAGGCAGAACAAAATACTCAACATTTTGTAGTCAATTTGAATGCAATACTCTGATATTTTATCTAGCCCTGAAAACCTCTATGGGACCCATGAATTATAGATCACCAGTACAGACGTTAACAGCTGGAAAGAGGATACAGGCTTGCCATCAGTTCTATCTGAATCATCGCATATATTTCTTGTTTGAAGTGTAAGCAAAATCCACAGTGCCTCTGTTACTTCAGTCTTTGAGATACATATATTGTGATATAAAAAGCAAAGACATTCTCCACAGGGTTCCACTTATTTCAATACACAAAATGAGCTGTTATTAAACAGTACTTTGCTTTTGCCTCATAGTCTGTTGTGTGGTCAGAGGAATTTGTCAGCCCCCACACTGTTTTTGCACGCTAATCATATCCCACACCAAAAGAAAAACAAACTTTGTCCTGAGATTTGCATGTTGCTTGTTGCTATAGCATCTCATACCCTTCATAAATATTTACAGAAACTACATAAGAAGGTACTGCTAATCACTACTCTGTATGTACAAAGAAATTAAGGTCTGATGTTTTCAATAAATTCTACTTGCTCAACTTGAGATGCCTGTGAACTGGACTATTATACTTTATTATGTCCTTAGTATAACAGAGTGTCAAACATAGTCTATACCTGGTTGGAGTCTCATACAAGATATCCTCCCCTCTTCCAGTTTAGGACTTCAGAATCTCTGTGGGCAATGTTTGTAGGAATCCAGTGCTGTTTGAGGAATGATAATAGTAAAAAAAAAATCAATGATTTATCCTGTTTGATTCCCACCCAGATTCAGACAGAGAAAGATATATTCTTGGTTTGCCTCTGACAAGGACTACTCCTATCCTGAGTGAAATTCAAGACTTTTCTTCAAATCATGGAAGAGCAGAGTTTTTCCAAAGAGGCTGGGACTTACTGATCTCCTCTTTATACAGACAGTTCTTTTGCTTTTCTAGAAACTTCAACCTACTGTTCCTCAACTAATCATGGTAACCATCTCAACCCCATGCCTGCTGTGACTTACCTCATTCTATCTTCATCCATTCCTTTGGTCTCCTTTTGCATGATGTCCTGGTAGCAGAGGCAAAAGGACATCAATCTGCTGAGCAGAGATAACTAGACTTTGAGTGAAAGAAGGTATATAGTGTAAAACAGATATCTGCTTTTGCCTACATATATGTATATTTTCTCCTGTAGTTTCGAAATCAGTAAGTAAGGATGACATTAGTTCTCACGAGTAAGGGATTCCAGCTCTCATATCTGATAAGTAAAGAATGGCATTAGAAGGGCAAGGGAACTAAAATAAGAACTCAATAACTGGCAGGCAATAAGGAAGAGAGACCAAAGAAGTAGCTGGACGAGAAGACATAGAATTTTTTTGAATGGAGCTTTTGAGAAGGAAAAAAACATAGGAAGGATTACTCAACTGACTAGCTTGAGGGAAGAAAGCTGCTGAGCAATGCTATGCAGTCATAGGAAGTGAACGGAATGGGTTGCTGCCTTATATTAATTACCTTTTCAGTCTATTAAAAGCAGTTTTTTTTACAATTTGTACTGCCCATTTCAAACAAGCTGAAGTCAGCAAATTCTAAACAAGCAGTTATTTCCATTTTTATTCTTCATTTAATTAAAGGTTACAGTACACTGAATAAATATTATGCAACTTCCTTTTTTTTCATGCTTAATTCTTAATTTTATGCTTGTAATTCTTATCTGCTTTGTATACTAAAAGTGTTTAGGGCTTGTATCACAGAAGGATGAAAGGTGGTCGATGACAGGGTGAATTCTTGGCCTCACCAAAATTGTGGTAAAACTGCTGTCTTTCCAGAGACTAGGACTTTGTCAGAGTATTTAGTTTAATTTCTAACTGTTGTTTATGTTAATATGCATTTAAGACATCTCACTAGTATAGGAATCTCATGTAAAATAATTCCATGGTAGTAAGTATTTCACACCCCAAATCTTTATTTTAAATGGAATTTTGATAAGACACTACTTTAATGCCATGAAATAAAATGAAATAATAGAGTCATAGAACGGCCTGGGTTGAAAAGGACCACAATAATCATCGAGTTTCAACCCCCCTGCTATATGCAGGGTCGCAACCACCAGGCCAGGCTGCCCAGAGTTACATCCAGCCTGGCCTTGAATGCCTCCAGGGATGGGGCATCCACAGCCTTCTTGGGCAACCTGTTCCGGTGCATCACCACCCTCAGTGTGAAATGAAACGAAGAATTATATGGAGAAAGAAATATTAAAACATGAAAGGATTGAGCACAGCTCTGCTGGAAAAGACTATTGGGTACTGGTGGATGGTAAGCTAAACACGAGCCAGCAATATGCCCTCACAGCCCAGAAAGCCCCCAGAAAGCCAACCGTATCCTGAGCTGCATCAAAAGAAATGTGGCCAGCAGGGCGAGGGTTGTGATCCTTCCCCTCTACACTGCACTGGTGAGACCTCATCTGGAGTACTGAGTCCACATGTGGAATCCTCAGTATACAAGAAACACTTTTCATTCTGGAGAAGAGAAGGCTCTAGGAAGACCAGAGAGTGGCCTTTCAGTATCTAAAAGGGAGCTTGGAAACAAAGGAGACAGACTCTTTAGTGGGGCCTGTGGTGATTGAACAAGGGCAAATGGCTTCAAGCTAAAAGAGGGTGGATGTAGGCTGGATATAAGGAAAAAGTATTTTACAGAGAGGGTAATGGTGAGGCACTGAAAGAGGTTGCCAGGGGATGTGGTTGATGTCCCGTTCCTGGAGACTTTCAAGGTGAGGCTGGATAAGGCTCTGGGCAACCTGATCTAACTGTGACGTCCCTGATCACTACGGGAGAGTTGCACTAGATAGCCTTTAAAGGTCCCATCTAACTCTAAGGATTCTATGATTCTATGATCCTATAGAGTAATGTTAAAATGTTTTAATAATTTCAAAACCTCATAAAGGCCACAGCATAATTTTCAGCCAAAATATTTCTAAAACTGGCAGCCCACAACAACCCTGGAACACCCACGTGGAAACATGTTTTTAATTTTGGAGTAAATATTTTGTCCTTAGATACAGAAATATTTTCTTAAAATAGAAGAAGGCAGCCTGAAATAGAGAGGAAATTAGGAGCACTTGTTGTGCAATTAAAAATTAATCATGTAGTGCTATAATCAAACTGATTTCATTTGAAAAGTTTAGAAAAACAAACATTTCAGAAAGTGTGATGTATGAAGTAAGGCTTCTGCAGCAGACTTAGTTTTCCAAAGATCATTTATCTGATGATTGTGTATTTGGTCAACTGCAAATATGAACCTACTGAATGTCGACATCCAGACTTCATGATTACAGAATCACAGCAAATTAAATGTGGTTTTTTTAGAGTTCTGTGTCACGAGAAATACCACTAAGAGTAAAGCCTCAGAGCGCTACAAAGGAGGTCTTGCTCAAACTACAGAAACATCTTAAGAATGGTTATTTTATCTATAAGTTCTAAATTGTTCCTTACCTGTGTTGTCTCACTGAATCTTCAGCAAAAAAGTTGGATTGGCTTTCAGCCCTTTGTTATGTGCAGTGGTTGAGGAGGACAAATCAGAAGTCCTAGAGCCAAATCAAAATGTGTTTCCCAAAATGAAGTGCAGCACCTGAACAAGTAAAAGACTGTGAATATTGAAACAGTCTTTTATACTCTTTTTAGTTTCAAACACAATAAAGGACAGCATCTCTTTCACACACCCTTCCTGTAATTAACCTTTTGTGTTCTGCAAATCTTGGAATATGAAAAGCGGATTTCTGTCTTCTCATAGTCTGTGAAAGCTGGCATTTTCTTTCTGTGCAATAAGCATAGCAAATCAATTAATAGTATGAATGATATCACCATGCAGCAATATCAGTTGCTGAGTCTTATTTTTCATCTTTCAAAACACCATGGTTTCTGTACTATGCCTTTTCTAGAGAAGAAAAAATGCATTCCTATTTCATGTGTTCCCTCTGATTTGTTGCATGTGGGGCACTGTGCTGGTTTACATGATACAAATGTTTGGTAACAAGTTTGCAAACTGTATACCAAAAACGTGTAGAAAAAGCCAACAGCAGAGTAAGGAAAAATGTACATGAGGAATGGTTGAAAAGATTGTCTACATAGAAAATAGCGTACATAGAGGCTATAACAAAGCAGGAAAAAAATGGGTGGTGATGAAGACAAAGTGGGGACCTAAACTCTCCTGTGTTCTAATCCAGCATGTCTCTCTTGTGTCCCCATGGTGCTAGGATGTTGGGTTGTGTGATAGAAAGCTGGAGTGCAGGGACAAAACTGTGGGGTGGAAGGTTGAGAAAACAGAACATTACACCCCAGTAACCCAATCAGAAAAACATGCCTGTCCCAGGAAAGCATTGGTTCCAGGGGTGGAGGTGACATCTATAAGGATAGATCAGAGGAAAGGCTCTTCAGAGCACTTAACAGACCTGAAGGGGATAACTGCCTATAAAATATTTTGGGATGCAATCAGGAGCATTTCAAGACTTCTTACGGGTTACATAATGGAAGGTCCAAATATAAGAAAAGGGAAGGCTCATAGTGATTGGAAGAAGAAAAAGCACAAGAAAACAGAGGGGAAAAAATAATTTTAAAAATATGTGCAAACCGGTCAGTACAGTTGCTGTGGCTATGCCCCAATCCTGATTATTTACACATTAAATTTGGCCTAGCTTTTTCCCTGAGTGGGGAAGATGTCTATTGTTGCTTTTATTTATGATCACTGTACCTGTCTCTGACGTTCTGAATCTCTTTATGACATAAATTAGCAACATAATTTTAAAAACTGAAAGTTGCTCTGGAGCTTTTCAGAGGAGATCACATTTACTTTACAGTTGCTTGTTAATTGCTTTAGTGCCTAAGGATGTACAACATATGTCCTGCAAAGAGACACCCATATGGTTGTACAGTGTATGTCCTGGCACTCTGTTGCCACAGACTAGAAAACAGACTTCTGTTTAAAATGCATGGCTCAGTATATGATTGAAGGTGTGACATATAAAGGATTAGAACTGACAACATTGAAGCCCTACACCTGTCATAGCACTATGTTGGAGTACGTACTTTGCTTTGTTGAGAAAGGAAGAGGAAAGAAGATTGCCTTCAGTAAAAAAACAATTAAAAGATGCTTTATAGTTTATAGTACAGGGGAGGGTTTCCTTCTGAATTGCCTGTTTTATTTGTGTTAGTGTGACTCAGCTACAGCTCAATTTGAGTTCAAGTGTTATAAAGAATTAGTAGTGGAAAAAAAAAAAAATGAACAGGCATTAACTGACACACAGAAGCAGATTTTAGAAGGAAATAGAGCTTTTAAGGCAGCAAGGAGGTGACTAAATGATTTTGTTGAAGTATCTATGTTTTTAGATGCTTAAAAGCATAAAATTTTCTATTAATCTTCCCTTTACTGATGAGTATTTTGGATGTACTTGATTATCCAGAAAAATGCACTAGTGTGCAAAACCCTCAGAAATTCAGCAGTCATTGCAAACGACCATGTTAAACTAAGGCAAATCTTCTTCAACAAAATAGTTGTACTCTATGTCTTTATTATATTCCAAGTTTCTCTTGCTTAGCTTTAACTTTCTCACTTAGGTAACAAACTGGTCTAAAGAAAGGATTAGCCTCACCTAACTTCAGCTAGTTTCTAGAGCCTAAGAAGGTCATGCAGCATCTGTAGAACAGGAATCACCCCACACATTGCAGAAATCTCTCTTAGTATGGAAGGAATCACCCTCTAGAGAGGCTTAGCTCTTTTCAGTTACTCTGACTAGATACTTCAGTAAGGGATTTCTCTCTAAATTTAGACAGCCAATTTACAACCCTGGTGTTGCTAAATAGTTAATAAAAAGTGAAAGACACCTCTTCAGAGTGAGTCATCCTATGTGAAACCTGAGTAATTCTTCAGGGTGTCTTTCTCTCTTCATTGACTATAGAGGAAGTGTGGGAGTACTCCTACGCAGGAATCATCTCCTATCTCAGGATCAAATGCTGATGTGAGATTAATTAAGGTTTGTGTGACATTTGAAATCACCTTGCGTACTTTGCTGAAGTACCTCTTTTTCCTCTAGGTAACACTGTCTTCCATACCACAATCTTCCATACCACCATCCTTATTTTTTTGCTCACAAAAAGAAGAAGAGAACATGACAGAATTCATTTCCCCTGTTTAAATTTTCTCCTTTGTTGTAAATTTCTTCAGGTAGTTTATATCTATATCCCAATATATAGATATAGATAGATCCCTATCTATAACCCAAATTAACCCTATGTTTGATTTGAATTGGGGCTGTGTGGCTGAAAAAAAATAGACCACAACCAGTGTCACAATGTAAGTGAAGTAAGTAATTTCAAAATTCTACAGTTCACTCGCAAAACTAGATTTTATTTTTTATCTTTTGTATTGTCCCAGTGGCTACAGTAACTTGCTAATTGAAGACCTGAAGAACTGTGGAATTAGAAATTTATCTTGTAAATGCTTATTTTAAAATTCCATGCTCTGAAAAAAAAAAAGAAAAAGAAATCTGAATCACTCCAAAACATTTTCATCTTCAATTTCCAGAATTTTAAAAATATTGTATCTAATAGAATTCAGAGAACTGCATCAGAACAGACAAGTCATTAAGAGACTTTAAAGAGAAAAATGAATTCGATCATCAAATAATGGTCTTAGCATCTTTTACACTTTTCCTGCATTAGTATTTCTTAGAACAAACTCTCTTCAGCCTTATTGATATGCTCCAAATAAAAAAATATTTCTTTCTTCAAAAATTAAATGTGTGCGTCATGGTAAGTCATATAAATGTTCATACACTAAATAATGTTATGGTCTCTCTACTATGTTAAAATAGGAATTTTTCCTCTTTCAGACAGGTCTCACAAAATAATGCTTCCTTACCCTGTTGTTTATTGCTTTTACACTCCAACTCTGTTCCACTGTTTCATAAAAAACATTACTTTTCCTTTCAGAAAGCCTCATTTGTCTCTAGATACAGTCACTTACTGATGTAATACCTGTCTATAAAGTATTTTTGTTCTTTTAATTTTCTCACTTCACATCATTTTTGAAGTCTTTGCCAGATGTTATCACAAAAATCAATTGTTTAAGCAGAAATTCATAGGAACAGGTACCAAGAACACCCTCTTGCAAATGTTCAGAAGAAGCTTCTCATACAAGCAGATATTTCATCACTGTATTACTGAATTTTGCACCTCATTCCGAGCCATATGGTCATACCTACTGCTAGACATAAGGTTTCTAGGAATCTCAACTATTCAATAAGGATGCTAGAAGCACACGGGGTTCAATATTTGTTGGTTCAACACTTAGCCAGTGCAAAGCAAATTATCCTTATACCTTTCCTGCTGGGGAACCTGTTGTCACCCAAGAATCTTTGCTGGGCAGTAAGCATACGATTATGGACCCCTGAGCCTTCTCTTTATTCCAACAGCCTCCTGCATGAAGGAGGTGGGCAATTTAAATTTAATGTTTCATGGATATATCTCTTCTAAAAAATGTTTTACCTGCAAATATTTCCTTTGAAATGAAACTTAATTATTTTCAAACTCAGTGCTCCTTTTATATTTTTCAGTGATTTATGTAATTTTTTTTAAAGCTCAGAATGATTATTTCTATTTTAATAATTTTTGGTTCATCTGAAAGTTCACTATCCTTACATTATCACAGATTAACATGTTTGTCAAGGGTCACTGTAAAGAGCAGAACAGGGTTTCACAAATATTTACATCAAGTAAAGTTACAGTAAAGAAACACCACCCAGTTACCATGCTATTTTTGTTGTTGCTTTAAATTAAGATTTGAACTAACAGTGAGATACAGATAAACAAAGTTCATACATGACAATAATATGATATTTATGTCCACTTAGTCAGTACGTGCATTCAGAATAGACAGTTTTTACCTTGACAGCCACTATCAGTTTGAGAAGAAATGTAATGTTATTTAGTTCAAGTCAGAGATTTAGTTTCAAAGCTGGTACTGCAAGCTACTCCTACCGGTTGTCCTGTATCACCTCCATCTTCCACATCCCCAAGCATAGCTTCCAGCAAGATCTGTTCCATGATTTTCCCTTGCACAGAGGTGAGGCTGACAGATCAGTTGTTCCCTGCACTGTCCTTTCTATCCTTCTTTAAAAAGGGTGTGACATTGCCCTCTTACCCATCACCAGGGGCTTCAACTAACTGCCATGACTTTTCAAATATCTAGAGTGGCTTGGCAACTATATCAATCCTCAAGACTCTGGGATGCATCCCAATCATTGGGACCAATAGACTTGTGGATTTTCAAATTCTTCAGGTGGTCATGAACCTGATCTTCACTTACATCAGGAATGAAATTGCTCTCATAGTTCCCACCTTCTCAACCATCTCAAGGGGTGTGTGAAGAACAGTTGCCAGTGAAGACTGAGGCAAAAATTTTGTTGAGTACATCAGCCTTCACCTTTTGTTACCAGCATGCTTCTTTGACTTATATATAGCTGAAGCCACCAAAATATATGCATTGTCTAGGCAAAGAGTCAGTC